AACCTATAAAGCCTGAGTTTGTTCAAGACATCCATCCTCTCCACCCCCAACACTACCATATCCACTCTGCTGGCTTTAGCAAATGGGGTTGCTTGGGGCTCTCCAAAGTGGCTTCCCTGTGCACCCCAGCATCTTTGCTGGCTCCGTGCCCCACGCATCTGCCTCCCCCAGCCGGGCAGAGCTCCATGAGTCCTCCACTGTGTCCACATTTGGCCTCTGTATTAAATAACTTACCACCTCCTGCCTCATAACAAGAATGGTTTTTGTACACCTGTTGTGCGTAAGTGCAGGGGTGAGGTGCGTTCATAGTGCTTAGTGATTCTACTCCTGCTTGCTCTCCCCAACACCCGAAGCATCTAACAGCACACCTTTCAGAGACATCCAGGAGGACATAGTCTTGCTTATTCACCCTCTCTCTTCTGCTTCTGGCTCTTTTCATGCTTAGAGCCAAGCCTTGTTCAAAGACATTATAATGTTAAGAAACCCAGAAAACAAACATTCAGAGTCAACAGATATCTGTGAGAGGAAGGGAGGAAGGAAAGCAAAGCAGATCTTCCTCATTCCTTTGTAGCTGATTCACAGAGCTGGACCCTGGCAGCAGCCTCTGCCCCTACAGTGAGGCCCAGGTCTGGAGGATCCCTGAGAGTCCCCACCCACTCCATGTCCTCTCACCCCCCCACCCCCACCCACAGCACTAATACCAGGACACGGAGCACATCGTAGAGACCCCAGGCCCCTTCTCCCTGGCAGCCAGCCTCTCCTGTCCCGCTACCAGTACTTACCAAGGGGTCAGGGGGCTCACAGCTGCTGGTGGTAGAGCTCATGGCAACTCAAGGTCTTCTCCTTTGGGTCCCCCTCAGGAGCGAAGTGAAGCCAAGCCACTCTGTGATGTGACAGAGAGGAGCCTGGGGAGAGAGGGATTCGAGGGTGGGGCTAATCGTCTATAAAAACTCCAGCCTCTCTGGGGCACAAGTACAGCTTCGATTTGTGCAACTTGAATCTGAAACGATTGGGTAATCTTTTCAAAGACCGGAAGGTGGGGCAGGAGATGAGGAGTGAGGTGAGGCTCTGGGCTGAACAGAGAGATTTTTCAGTTTGCTCGAGCTGATTCCAGAGGCTCCTCGGGCGGGAGTGGAAAGCCATCCAAAAATAACCCATGCAGCGGGCCTGAGCTGAGTTACTGAGGTCACCAGCGAGGAAGAGTCACTGCTATTGACCTGGAGCAGCCACTGTGACTTCTTGGTGGGGTAGAGACTTCTGGAGAGACCCAGAGAAAACGTGATTCTAATCCTGCTTGCTCTCCCCAACACCTGAAGCATCATCAGCCCACCTTTCAGAGACATCCAGGGGGACGTAGTCTTGCTTATTCTGCACAAGACACCAACGGCCTTCCTCAAAAACGTTGTGTGAGCTCCACTTCGTGATGTCCAAAGCAAGTCAAGTTCCAGCAACTGATGGTGGTGGAATGTTCTGGAGTAACTCCCCAAGTTTCAGGAAGCAAATGGCAGGATGCACAGAGATGTCATCAGGAGCAGGTGCAGGAGAAAGCCCTGAGAAACAGCAGTGAGCTGTGGGCCAGGGAGGGGAAGACCTCATGTGGGCTGCGTCAGAAAAGCACTAAATGGACTTTATTAGACGTGAACTTGGCATTCCGCTGCATGTGTTTTATATTCTTAATGGGCAAAACTCTGGAGCATTGGATCCTTCTTTTGCATTAAGAAAGTCAGGCATCGATGGGTCAAATGCTTCGCCCAAGGGTCCTTGCAATTGCAGGAACAGAGCTTCCAACCCAGATGGTCTTGTTCCACAGCCTTTGGGAGACAGGTACATCTGCTGAGTCTGAAAACAGCAAGGATGAGATCGGGGGGAGGTGAGGCAGAAAGTGTAGCCACGAGGGGCCTTATTAGCAGAAATGTGGATCCTTTAAATATGGATCCCTGGTGGGGCCGCCCTGGTGGCCTCAAGGTTAGGTCTCAGCACTATCACCACGGCAGCACAAGTTCGATCCCCGGCCAGTGAGTGACCCACAGGGTGCAGCAGACCTCTCCTGACCCGCCCGCTGCTCCCTCAGCAGTGTACTTCGTTGATCTGCCTGTTCTGCTCCCCACTCTGTCTCTGGTGAATCCTCTCACCCCCTCACTTCTGACACGCACCTTAGTTCTTCTATGCAAAAATTAGTAAAATATATAAAAATAAACACAGATCCCTGAGTGCTCAGGGGCCCTGAGTTCACCTCAGAAGTGAGAATGAGACAGTGGAGCTGAGGAGAGCATGGACTTCTCTGTCTGTGAGCTTCCTGCAAACCCTAGAGGTACAGCTTCTGGGCTGGGCCAGTTTGGAGGGGAGGACAGAGAACAGGGGCCAACATTCACGAGGCTCACAGCCAGCACTCAAGCTTCCTGGTCACCCCGGAGGCCTGGCCGGTGTGGGTCAGAGTGGGGAGCTACCTCAGCTGCCCCCAAACCCCCTTCTCACAGACCCGAGGGCGCTGGCAATGTGGGGTTCACACTGGACATCTCTTTCCCTGTCACCTTTCAGCTATGGGAAAGCAGAGGCTTCCTCGAAGACTATTTTCCTCAGCTATGGGAAAGCAGAGGTCTATGTAGAATGACTTACACAAAATTTGCTCTTTTTCTTACCCTTCTCTAACTATGATTGTTAAATTTCAATAGTATCCAGAAGAACTTAAATATCCATTTTAATGTTTATAATCTCAACATATATTTTGCACAACAGAATTATCTGAAGTGTGGCAAAGAGAATCCAAGAGAATACTGGGGGACAACTGACAGAGTGCTTGTCTGTGAGTCATGTCACTCAAAGAAATACCTGTCTTTATAAACTGGAAGGTCAAAACACGAAATTCAGGGCCCTCGCTGGTGGCGCAGTGGGTTGAAGTGCAGCATTGCAAAGCTAGCCAGACGAAGGCGATTCATTACGAATTCGATCCTGGGAAGTGGCACAGCAGACCTCTCCTGACCTGCCCCCTGCTCCCCTCAGCAGTGTATTTCAGTACATCTGCTTATTCCGCTCCCCACTGTCTCTGGTGAAGCCTCTCACTGACCCTGCACCTCTGGCCTGTACCCCAGTCTTGTATATATAAATAAATAAATCTCTTTAAAAAAAAAAAAACCCAACAGCAGTCCTGGAAGGAGCAGGGGATGAGGAGATCAATAGTTTTATCGAGCTCTGACTGGTTTCATCAAAAACCAGAGCCACAAGGTTTTAGCTTTGGATGGGAAGTCAAATGTTGGTATGTGCCCCTCAGGAAACTATCTCTGGTGGATGGTGGCTCTTGGCTTTTGGCATGGTCTTAACAATCCCCACAGTCATGCCCAGTTGAATCTCACGTTCTAGAGGAGGGATTTGCAAGCTAAAACCCATGGGCCAAAACTGAGCCAATGCCCTTTCTTTGCAAATACAGTTTTGCTGGACCACGTACATGCCCATTTGTTTACACCTTCTTCAGCGCTGCATTGTATTCCAGCAGACTCGACCAGTAAAGGCCCCCAAGCAACTTACCAGTTGGGCCTTTGCAGAAGAACTCTGCTTACTCCTGCTTCACTACAACAGCCCCAAAACTTGGATTTTGAGGGGGGAAACACTCTGGTTAAGAAGCCGTCAGCATATAACATTTATCTTTAATGATACAATGAATACAGATAGCATTTAGATAAGTAATTTTAAAGTATAATAAGGTCTTTTTTTCACTGTCTTTCCTCTTCCTCGGATACCAGTCACCACTTTTCTCTTCCAGGCTCAGTTGACTGGAGGTTTTGCAAGTTCAAGCTGAGCAAGAGGCCAGCATAGCTCCTTGGAGCTGTCCAGCAGGCCCTTGCTGCTTATCAGTCCCCAGAACCAAGGCTGGATGAGGCTGGAACCAAGAACTGAAGCCAACTTAGGAAGCGCCAGATGAACCAGGCAATTCCAAAGCTGGAAAACAGCTTGCAGAAATTTTCCCTGCGGCTGCTACCTTGGTGTCAAGACCCCAGCTTGTCTTGATGGCATTCTCGTTCCCCAAGCTCAGTGGTGACCTGCCCTCAGAGGATAGCAGCCATCTGAGCCCTGACGGTGAACCCCCTCAATGCAAGAGAGCCACGCTCTAGGCTTTGCCCACTGCCTTCTCCTGGGGAATTGGTCTTAGTTCTAGTAACTAAGGCAGGGCGAGTGACTCTGTCATCAGCAGCGCTATCACCTCAGCCAGTTCCATCTTCTCCTTTGCTGCTTCCCTCAGCAGAAGGAGCCAACTTTCTGCTCTGCAGCTTTTGCTCCCACGGGTTAGGCACCTTGAGGCCATGCTGGCCTGCACTGACCCTGTGGGTGGGCAGGCTCCAAGTGCAGAAGAAGCCTGATGCTCCTTCTGGGGTGTTCATGCCCACACCCCAGCTCAGCTGTCTGGCTAGTCAGAGGGTGCTGTGGGTCTTCCCCAGGGGACACCACAACTGGGGCGTCCTGGCTGCAGGAAATGGCCAAAGAGCTTCAACAAAGAGAGCCCCGCCAGTCTTACCACTGAGGTCAGGCGGAGTCGCTACATGGTGTGTGACACAGGAAGACTGAAACCCGTGCCTAGGTTCCTAGCCAGCATTCTCTCCACCTCCCAGGTTATTCTTTCCTGCTCCTTAGTGGAGGGAGAGGTGAGGGTGGAGACCACTTTTGCCTTATGACCTTGCAACCCCAGAGCCCTGTGCAATACAAACAGGATAGCAGTGACACCCAGTGGAGAAACGGCTCTTCTCTCTCTAGAGACAGCCATGTCCTACGCTGGGTGCTGGGCGTGGATTCAGAACTGACCCCACCCTCCTGGGACTGGGCTTGAGTGCTGTCCATGGTGCTGACATCCGAGGGTGGGGGGGAAAGGCAACCTGGACTGGAGGGCCATGAAGCCTCTGACAGCTCATAACTGCTCCCTGTAGGGCCTTAGGCCTCAGTTCACACGGTTCCCAACTGCATGTGATTCCCGAACCCTCTGCTGCTGCTTCCCTGGGACAAGACCCAAGTGCTGGCCCTGATCAAAGTGTCTCTGCCTTCCATCCTCTGAGTGGAGGACAAGGAGTAAAAGATTATTATTCTTGATCTACATACAGAGTTATAGGAGGTTTTATCAGAAACTTCAAAGAGAACTTTAGCTTTGGGGCTGAGTTCAAGCATGGGTACTCATGAGTCTTCCTTTCTTCTTTGCAGTCTCTCTTCCTTCCAGTCAACCACCCGTCAACACATTATAGACCACTTTGCTTTACATGGTATGTTATAGGCATTGTACTAGGTGTGAGAGTATCAGCTGAGCAGGAGAGACACCCAGGCCCCTGCCCTCAGGAAGATCCCTGGGTAGTGTGGAAGAGAGACCTTAGTTAAATACTCATACTTCATCATCAAGTTTCACTACGATTAAGTGAAATGGAATGACATCATGAGATTTTATTACAAGAAAACTTAACTAGTCAAGGAAGTCAGAGAAAATAACAATTGATTTTATATGTTTTGATGCATTGGTATATGCATGCTATATATATGTTTTTGATGTTTGATATGTTTTTGTTTCAGACAAAAGAAGAAATTTGTGCAAAGGCCCTGGGGCAGAAACACTGAAAGGAAACAGGAATGAGGAGAAACATGAGGCAGGAGAGGCTCAGACAGAAAAGGCCTGGTAGACCCTGGTGAGAGATTATTCTTTATCTGTGGATGATGGGAGGCCATTGATATGTTTTAAGTTGGGAGATGCCATGAGCAGCTTTATGGTCTGTGGAGAAGAGACAGGAAAGGCAAAGAATGAATTATGGAGAGAACCATGGCTCCAGTGATACAATACACTGGCTCAGTGCAGGTG